TCATCTGGATTCAAACCAACTCAATTCACAAAATCTAAACAGAAAATCAGAGACCACCCCAGAATACTACCGGCATCGCATCACAATCCCAAAAGTTACATAATTCAAGATCGATCTACCCGATTTTCAAATGCTCAAATTAACTCACTTACCACGAGCAAAATACTAAACAATTTGGCTGCAAAATTCCCAAAAGCTTTCGTTCCTCAATTATTTTTCTACTAGAAAAAAAGAGAGAGAACCAAGGAAGGAATCGAGAAAAAGGCTGTTAAGCAAGAGACAGAAAAAGGCAGCGGAGCGATGGAGGTGATTTACAAATTGCGTGCAACGGACGGTGGCCGTAGGGAATCTCGACCAACGTGGGGTTGGGCCCGGAGAACTTATGGCTTTGCGCAAAACGACATATATTTATTTATTTATACAGACATGTAATTTTACAATAAAACAAGAGCTTCAAACCGAAGGAGTATTTATTCATTAAACATTAATCAAAAGGTCTAAAACATCAACCCTGCAACTAGCTTCTTCTTGGAACAACTCTTCTGGCTTTCCTCATCTTCCTGCCACTTTGACTTAGTCGGCCATCAAACAAAGACACAAACCATTTTGGTTTTCCTGTACGGAAGACATGATATCCCATCAGCAGTCCAAAAACAACTCCACACCCATAGCCTAACACCACAACTCTCCAGCCAAATCTCCACGACTCATCTTTCTCTCGGAATGAGCTTGGCTGTGTCCCATTTTCATCACAAGATTTTGACAATGGGAATCCACATAGTCCAAGGTTTCCTTCATAAGAATCATTTCCAAAGGTGTTGAACTGTTTGCCTTGTGGTATGCGTCCAACAAGATGATTATTTGAAAGATTCAATTTGGAAAGTTCTGTCAAAGATACCAACTCATCCGGAATTTCCCCTACCAGCTCGTTGAAAGAGAGATCCAACCACTCGAGGTTTGTCAAATTCCCTAGTGACTGTGAGATAGGACCTGTAAGGTTGTTATGAGAAAGATTAAGTCCTTTGAGAGAACTAAGCTTTCCAATAACATCTGGAATTTCTCCTTCGAACTTGTTTTCTGAGAGATCAATGCTAGTGAATATGGTCAAGATTCTCTGCAGCTCATACTCCAATCCTTTGATTATCACCACCAGTGAATATTGATAAGAACCATTGCTCATCGTCATGTATTCAGGAGAACTGTCATCACTATGAGTGTCCATCATTGCATTAAAATTTTCAATGTACCGAATAGGCAAAGCACCAACAAAATAATTGCTGGAGAGGTCCAGAATTCGCAAGTTGGGAAAAGATGGACCTTCTTTGGTGCTATCCACGAAACCGTGGAACTTGTTGGACCTTAAGACAAGCACTTGAAGCTGTGGTAGAGATTCCAACCAATGAGGGAATGTATCATTTATGTTGTTGTTGCCAATGTCTAGAACCTCTAACCAGCTACAATTCACCAAAGACCTTGGTAATAGCCCGTCCATTTGATTTCCATGCAAGTTGAGATTTTCTAATTCACAGCTCTCTGTAAACCAAAATGGTATATTTCCATCAAAGTTATTGTCCTGCAAATTCAGCACTGAGAGAGACTTAGGAAGACAATTTGGGATTTTCCCCTCTAAATTGTTATGAGAAAGGTCAAGAACTCCGAGATAATCCTTTTCCCATATCCATTTAGGAATATTGCCATGAATGCTATTCTTTGATAACAGTAGGCTTTGCAGAGCATCTGAATGTCTTAAGAAATTGGGGAATTTACTCAAGTTACAAGAAGACAAGTCAAAATCAGTTAGTTTGGGTAATGTGAAGTTGGCATGAACATTGACTCTCAAAGAAAGATTATTTTGTGAAAGACTGATGGATTCCAGATTTTGAAGTGCCGAGAACATGTCAGCTACTACTAAATCACTAAGATGATTTGATGATAAATCGAGATAACTAAGATTTACTAAATTAGCAATTGAGTTAGGAATTGAGCCCTGGAGTCTATTGTTTGACAAATTCAGTTCTTCAAGTGAGTTTTGCTGGAATTGATTTATTTGACCTTCAAGTTGGTTATGATTGAGTCGCAAGGTCTCTAACAAAGGTAGGGTGAAAAGCGAAGGTGGCAACGTGCCATTAAGTAAGTTATAAGCTAAGTCTAGATAGATTAGTTTGGAAAACCTACTTGCATGAAAAGGAATGGGACCAGAAAACTGATTATTGGAAAGGCCAAGAAAGGTGAGTTGTGTGAGATTTGCAAGGGATGATGGGATTTGTCCGCTAAGATTGTTATCATAGAAGTATAGGGAAGTAAGTTGGGATAAGTTTCCTATGGAAGCTGGAATGGAACCTTCCAAGTTGCAGCTATCAAGACTTAGAAACTGTAATGACTTTAGATCTCCTATAGACTCTGGCAATCGCCCTCCGCAATCCATACCAATTAAATGCAAATTTTGGAGAGGACTGCTCCAATTGGAACTTGGAAGATCAATAGTGAGGTTTTCCTCTCCACCTAAACCACCTAAACCAAATGTCTTGAGATTTGGAAAGCGGAAAATACTATTTGGAAACCTTCCTCTTAACACACTCTCGAAAAGATCAAGAGTAGTCAAAGAAGAAGAGAGATTCATGAAGAAACGAGGATTAACAGATGTCATGTTCACTCCACAAAGCACAAGTTCTCTCACCTCACTTAAGTTGTGAACAAGATTTCTCAAGGTAGTTGTTTCAAGGATCAATTTATGAGAAGAATCCAAATAGACAGAATTAGAATCAAAAGTGAACAAATTAGAGAGATTGAGAGAAACTAACTTGGGGAGGTGAGCAATTTCCGCTGGAACTTGGCCGGAAAACTGAGAAGAAGAGATATCAAGATGCTTTAGTCTAGTAAACTGACTGATTTCTGGTGGAATCTTGGAAAGCCTAAAATCATTGAAGGCAAGATTGAGGCTCTGC